AAATGATGATGATGATAATGATAATGATTATGCTACAACCGGATCTGTTGTGCGATATCAACTCACTGAAGACAATGGTGTACAGTGGAGCAACTTCGTGGATTGGTTGAATTTAGACATTAACACCACTGGATGCCGACCAGCTCAGTGGTCTAGTCGGTTAGGCGCCTAACGCGAGACTGATAGGTCCTGGGTTCGAATCTCGCGGGTTGCGGTATCATGGATGCGCATTGTTGAGGAGTCCCATACTAGGACGAGACGGCCGTCCAGTGCTTCCAGGTTTTCTATGGTGGTCGAGCTTCAACTGACTCATGATTTCAATCAGTGAAATTTCTAAAATGGTCAGTTTATCACTGTTGAGTTGTGATTATATTTCATTTCAAAATGCATAATACTGATCTTAAATTTTCATTGATTAGTACAAAGCGGAATTTTAGTTTAATGAAATTCATAGAGGAAAAAGCTTGTTCACCGATCTAAATTGACTATGAAATATAAAAATTTCAAGCCCACAGATTTCTAAATAATGGAGCGTATCATATCAATAACAAGATAGCTTACTCACTTTCTCCATTACGCGTCATTTTGTTTTGTTTCGTATTTCCGATCAACGATTATATGAAATATATGTATTCATAAATTCATTCTCTTATTTCACTTATTCGAATCCGTCAAAGCGAGTTAGGTCGATAATTATGTGCAAGGATTGGCTATATGTCTATTTCAATCACAAGCAGCAATTAATATACGATCAAATTGTAGTCAGATTTAGGGCCATTATACTACATTACGTTGTAACCGATTAATAAGTAATAAGGTTATTATCGAAGAAAATAATAGTTTGGAAAACGAATTTTAAAATATTAAACCATTGAATTCGTATATAATTCATCATTTAAGCTGACATCATGAATCGATTGATGTTGAAAACCTGAAAGCACTGGACAATCGTTTCCTCCTGTTGTGGGACTCTTCGGCAGTGCGCATCCACGATCGCGCTAGTGGGATTGGAACCCACGGCCTTCAGTTTCGTGCGCGGACGCTTAACCTTCTAGACCAACAGCCCAATATCTGACTTCAAGTGGATCGTATGATTGATTATTATTGAAATATACATAACGTCAATCCTCATAGAAAATTATACACTTAAGTCATGTTGACGAATAACGGAATTAAATAATTCAAATACGAGAATGGATTCTTGAATATGTATATTTTCTACAATCATTGATTTGAACAGACGATCAGAAGGACAAAACAAAGAGAAGAGAGTGAAGCAAAATAACGCGTGATGGAGAATACGATTAAACCAACTCACTTGAATAAAGCGTGACTCAATATTTATAGTCAAACAAAAAGAAATTACAGATATGTGATGAATTAACGGACGCATTCCTACAATTGAAGAACATATGGAATTCAGAACAACAGTCTGTCAACTAATACCAAAATCACAATCTTCAATACGAACGTCAAGACAGTCAGTTTTATTGTACGGAGCTGAAACTTGGAGGACTACTACAAGTATTTATAAACAATTGTCTTCGCAAGATACTGAACATCCATTGGTCGGATACCATCAGCAACAACCTACTGTGAGAGAGAACAATCCAGCTTTCAGCTGAAGAGGAAATTATGGAAAAACGATGGAAATGGATAGGACATACATTATGAAAATCATCAAACTGCATCAATAGTCAAGCGCTAACTCAGATTCCCGAAGGGAAGTGGAAAAGAAGAAGGTCAAAGAACACATTACATCGGGAAATAGAAGCAGACATGAAAAGAATGAATAAAATCTGGAAAGGGCTGGAAAGGATTGCCCAGGACAGGGTTGAATAGAGAGTGCTGGTAGGTGGCCTATGCTCCTCCGCAAGGAGTACCAGGCGTAAGTAAGTAAGTGAGTGTGTCATGGATAGGATAAGCAATGCACACACACACATACACTCACATAAAAACAGTCAAAATTGATAAGCGAATAATTAACAAGGTGAAAATGTGAATCAAGAAGAATGAATAAATTTACCGCTCCGGAAGCTCAAATAACCTATGTGAGTTTAGCATAGCAACTAACACTATCATTTAATAATAATAATTAAATCACAAGCATATTTTCATTACACTGACTAAAACATGCTAAATTAAGCTTTAAAAACAAACAAAGAAAATGCATTCTGCATGCATCCATACACAAAAATGTAATGGCAATTTCATAATAAATGAAAACATCTCATTCCCTCACTCTCTCTCTCTTGCTCTCGCTTTTTTTTCTCTTTTTTTTATAGCGGCTTAATTAATTTTAACCTTAGTAAGCATACTTATTAAGCATAGAATAAGTAATATATAACACTACCTCACAATGTTCACCCAAATATTGTGGATCACATCTAAATTAAAATGTCAATATAAATGAAATAAATGATTATTTTAAAGAAAAGAAAAAAAAGAAAAAAAGAGAAAAAAGAAGTTTATTTTCCTAAAATTAAAAAAAAAGTGATTAAGTTTGTTGATTGTGGGGTTGGGGTTTGTTTGTTTGTTTTTGCTTGGTGATTTGTGTAAACAATTAAATATACGCTGAAGTGTTTTTTTTTTGGGGGGGGGAATGAAATGAAATACTACTTATAAATTGAAAATCATTGTATTATAAACAATGATGAATAGTGATTAGTAACGGAATCCAGTTTGATGTGTGTTCCGTCCTATTTTGCGATTCATCAGATGGATGTACCTGCATTTCAGAGTTTAAATTCACTTTGGAACTTGAATCCAGTACCGTTTGCGTTAAATACCATTGCTTTCAATACTTAGCTACTGAGTTTTTATAGGCACCTGTTTGTGCAATGAGGTGAAGTTTAAATTTAGTTGGTATTGTTAACTTGAATTTTCCTATTGATGTTTAGGAAGCAAGCCGTACTGAGTTCGAGTCCCGGAGTCAAAAAGAAATCTAGGATACAGGTACATCTAGCTGACAAGTCCTATATAGGACGAAATGCGCATCCTAGATTACACTGCCAGCCGACATCCATCTTTGCTTATGATATATAGTATTGTTGCTGAATAATTTCTGAAGTAGAATTATCCTAACATGTACATAATTTGAAAGTCTATTTGGAAGCCAAAGGAATTGGAAATTTATATTTTTTACCATGATTTTCAGCTATAAGCTTCTTGTATACAGATTATAGTGTTTTCAAATAGCTAACACACAGGTTATCATATCTTTATATGTATGTCATTCTAGAATTATCATACATCAAGTATACACTATTGTAAGCTTTGAATAATTTAAGAATAATATGTGTATACTATTCTTATAAAATCATTATCATTTGCTTGTTGAACGTCTTTAAACAGAGATATTTTGTAATTGCTCCTATGACCATTTAATTAACTCTTCAAAGAAACTCTTGTTTTTTATCGACTTTTTACTTTTACACAGCTTTCAGAAGTGTGTTATCAGTCTTATGAACATTATGAATTTGTATACAGTCATTGCTCCAATCACTATGAAGAATATTGATTACGTAATTCATAGATTTTTCATATTCGAACAGATAGGATGTGGCTAGCGGTGGAGTTTAGGATCCAGGTTTCATCCTATTTGGGACTCATCACTCGAGTATTCTTTTATTCAAGAATTGCTGTCTACTGTGTGATTCGAACAATATCGCACTATCTACTTAACTAATGAAGCGACAAATATAAGGTGTATATATGTCGAATAAGAATGATCCAAAAATCAGTCTAATTATTAACAACTGAATAATCCAGACCATTAGAAAAATGATAAACTCCTCCTGGAGTCCCTTTACAGTTACTGCCGATCTCAAGCCCGAATAAAGAAGGAGAGTTAGGCACATAATTAGTGACTTCATCTCGTAGAAAACTAACTCGCAGGAAAAAAATCACTTTAAACCATTTAAAATTCTGCCCTAAGAGTTAAAAGTTCTTCATTTAAAAGAGTTATCATATCTCATAATGAAAGCCAAATTCCTTCAGAAATCACAAGGCTTATACCCTTTCTAACAACTAAAGCAACCACTAATTTAGGTACATGGAATTAAAAAATAAATGATTGTTTAATGTTCTTTTTTGAAATCATGAGTTAGTTGAAACTAACCCACCATGGAAAACCTGGAAGCACTGGATGGCCGTTTCGTCCAAGTATGAGACTCCTCAACGGTGCGCATCCATGATCCTGGGCCCCGCGAGATTCGAACCCATGACCTATCAGTTTCGCGTCAGGCGCTTAACCAACTAGACCACTGGGCTGGCCGGCATCCAATAGTGTTAATGTCTAAATTCAACCAATCCACGAAGTTGCACCACCGTATATCATTGTCTTCAGTGAGTTGATATCTCACAACAGACCTGGTTGAACTCCACTGGTAACGACTTCTCACTAGAACTCAGGAGTATTTCTTGAAGTCAGTCGCTACTGAGGAGATGATTATTATCAGAAGGGGTTTTGTGGAGATTTTAGTAATTTCACTGATTGAAATCATGAGTCAAGTGAAGTTAGACCACCATGGAATACCTGGAAGCACTGCACGGCCGTTTCATTCTATTGTGGGACTCCTCAACAGTGAGCACCGTGATTCCGCACCCTGCGAGATTCGAACCCAGTTGGTTAGGCGCCTTGTGCGAGACTGATAAGTCCTGGGCTCGAATCTCGTGGGGTGCGGGATCGCGGATGTGCACTGCTTAGTAGTCCCATACCGGGACGAACCGGCCGTCCAGTGCTTCCAGATTTTCATAGTTGTCTCGCTTCAATTGACTCATGATTTCAATCAGTGAAATAATATAAAATCATTAACATATGCAAAAATCGATCATATTTAATCAATCATTCTTTTTTTTATTCAACTTAAGTTAGGCTAATAACCTTTTCTTCTATTTCTATTGACTTATACTTAACAATCTAGAATTAACATTCCCATAAACTTTTAAATATTGTTTCAGAAACATGGGTATTTTTTTTTTCATTTTCAACTACTTACCTGCAATATGGTTTCCCATCTATGATGTAACAATGTCCTCGATGACAATAATTATGACAAGGATGTACTAAAAAGAAGAGAATTGAAAAAAACAAACAAAAAACACACATTAACTACATAAGTTACATGAAGATTCTTTTTGTATTGATGACAGAATATAAAATAGATAGGGGGGAAAGGGGGGGCCTATGGAAAAACAACGAATATATATATATATATATGTTTTACATAAATGTAAGTACATTAGAATTCGTTTTATCTTATTAAAACACATGAGAAATTATTCAACCATAAAATGATATGTTTTACTGGTAATTTATGGGAAATCATTCATTCTATAATTGACGCCATTTATATACAACTTAGAAACTATTTTATTTAAAGCATGAATATGTGAATAGTTTAGCGCCATTTCAATTTATGTGAAATTTTTTGAAAAAAAACCGAGATGAAAATGTGATAAACATCATTTGAGTTTATGTAAAACAATGTAGTTCATCACTTATATATATATATGTATCTTGCGAGGCGGGATCATGGATGCGCACTACTGAGGAGTCCTACAATAGGACGAAACGACCGTCTAGTATTTTGAGGTTTTTCACGGTGGTTTAGATCCGATTGACTCATGATCTTAACCATTGAAAATTTATATTGTAGTGTCGGTTATTATATTAAGCCCATATACCTTATTTTAGCTTTCAGACAGCCCATTCTATTCATTCTAGTTGAGTCACATTCTGACCTTGTTAATTATTCGCTTATCAATCTTGACCGTTTTTATATGAGCGCTTAGAAGTGTGTACATTTTTATCCCACTACTCATCACATTTCTGTAACTTATTTTTGTGTAACTATAAATATTGATTAACGCTTGGTTAAATGGGAGTTGGCTTACCAGCCATCTCCACTGTGCGTCGTTTCTCTTCTCCCTATTTCATTCGCTTTATATACAAAATATAGGTATTCACAAGTCCATTCTCGTTATTTGACTTATCTAAATCCGTTATTTACTGACGCGATTTAAGTCGATGATTATATACGAGGATAGACGACATATATATTTCAACAACAATCATCATTACGGTTTCCTTGTAGTCAGATTTCCAGCCACAAAAGTGGAGAGCCCTTTCGACAACATCGTCCGATATAAATGACGACAAAATTAACGGGCCTCCACAATATATTTCGTCCACTTATGGATTGAAGTCGATCTATGTAGATGAATGAACTTTGACTAAGTGATTGACTGATCGATGAATGATTTTGATAAGTTAAAAGATTATGATTCAACTTCATGTTATTGAATGTGTATATATATACTATCAAAATGTCTTAAATGAAAGTAGATCTGATTTATAATATCCCTTGGCTTTCACTAGTCTTCCATATACATTTGAAGCAGTCACTAATGGATTGCTTAGAAATCATAATGGAATTTAATTGTTCTTAGATTTCATATAAAGTTTGCAAGTACATCAGTCAAAGTCATATAAATGATGAAATTATTCATTTCATGTAGGGAATCTCCATCAATACACTTTGACAATATTAAATCTCAAGTATGTTGGCTTTACATGTAACATACTTCATACTGGGAAATCGTTTGTTAGAATTAATCGGATTTAAACATTAATCCTAACGATGGCCAGAAGGTAGATCAGTCTACTGGTAAATTAGTTACATAGACTGAATGAAGCAATCAACATTAACATAAGCGATTTAACTGAGTTATTATCAACAGAATTCTGTTGATAGTATGGAATAAATAACAAAGAATAAGTTACAACTCAGTGGCCAATTAGTGTAATGCATTTCAATCCTACATTAGTTCAATACATGAATAGCTGACTGATAATATTTTTTCAATGTGATTAATCCATGTATGACATGGGTGAAGAGTTGAATAAAGTGTTACTTCATTCATGTTTACAGATGCACCCAGCTGACAAGTACTAGTCAACAATGTTTCATTACTTGACATCAGTAAGTCAGCTACAACGTAGGACCAGGCACAAATGTACATCAGTCCAAGTTGCCATACCTCATGAGCACAGCAAGATGAACACCGGATTCATAAAAGTAGTCAATTCAATGGTGGTAATGTGTAAAAGAAAGGTTGCATACAAGGATATAGTACAGGAAGAAAGAATTAGTTCGTAGAATGAAAGATATGAAGCGATATTAATCTCACACTTTAAAGGAAAACAGAGAGCATATACACCTACGCCACTGTGGTCGATTCCGAGCCATATCACACAGAGTCTTTAACCATTGGTTACGATAGTCACGCGGACCCCAACCAAGTAGTCTGCATCTACCAACATCGCTCACACCAAAAGTTAGTGACTCTATGGACTGATACCATGTTTTGGTTTGGCCATCCCTAGCTTTATTCTAATCGTCTCCAACACCAGTCAGTAAACGGTGTTCAGACACTTGCACCACGTGGCCCAATCATCTCAGTTGATGGAGATTCACAACCTCATCAACTGATTTACCATCATTCCCTAATACCCTGTATCTAACATCACTATTACTTACCCGGTGATCCCAGCAGATGCGAGCAATATTTCTAAGGTATCTGTGGTCAGATACTAGTAGCTTTCGAGTATCTTCTGCCCCTTAATGACCATGTTTCACAGACGCAAATTCAAACAGAACGGACTGCCACGCAGTATACTCGTCCCTTAATTGATAGACAGATATCTCGCCTTCTCCATTGGTGACGTAAGTTGGCAAAAGCCAAATGAACTTTTCGAATCCGTGCTGAGATTTCATCAGACACCAATCCATTAGGGCTGATCAAACTTCCAGTAGCACTCAAGACCACTGTATTCATAATCAACCTCCCTCTTCAATTCCTATTACTTGACATCCCACAATATATAATCCACAATGTTTAAAAATTGATTGTTTGATAACATGAATAATTAGCGAAAAATTGGTAAACAATAATGTATTTGAATTATTCAGAAAAAAGATGGTCAACTGAAAAATCATTATGTTATCTCACATTGATTTATTTATTGATCGATTGAATATCTTCTTCAATATCACAGAAATATACTAACCGTTACTAAGAATAGTGCAAAGCTAAACGTTATTTGACATCATATACTGACTGATATCACTATGAAACAAACATGTAGTGTCAGTTATTATGGCAAGCCCATATACCTTTATTCTAACTTCCGGACATCCTATTTTATTCATTTTACTTGAGCCATATATTGACCTTGTCAACTATTCGCTTGTCAGTCTTGACTGTTTTTTCATATGAGCGTATATGAGTGTACACTTCATGTCCCATGATTCATTGTATGTCTGTAGCTTATTTTGTTTGACTATAAATACTGAGTAACGCTTAATTAAAATGGAGTTGGCTTCCCAGCCATCTTCCCTGTGCGTCATTTTGCTTGGCTCTGTTCCATTCACTTCATATACAAAATATATGTATTCAAATGCCATTCTCGTTAATTGACTTATTTAATTGCGTTATGGACTAACGCGATCTAAGTCGACGATGATATACGAGAATAGGTGATAACAATCATTCATACACTCTAAACGGAGTCAGATCCCCGGGCTACAAAAAACATTAAAAAAACAGGTTCAGTCTCCCCTCCTCCCTCTCCCAAAAAAACAAAAAAAGCATCAACATTTCATTACCCCCCCCACATAAATCAATAAATTTAAATAAGATTCATTTGGAACATATGAAATCAAATTTAATGTTTTGGCAAAATATCAAAGATGTCATAAATATTAACAGTTTGAATTGGGGGTAGAATCTATGAACTGAAGAAGTGCTACTAAACATATAACTACCAGAATTGAAGATAAAGTCTATAGATTGATGATTATTAGATGTAATTGGTTCCTTTCACTAATTTCATGAATGTTAAAACTATATTGTCAGTATAATATGAAAATAATTGATTTTATCTATTGGAAGTTATCAACATATGTATGGGATTCCCATCACTGGATGATTATCTTGGATTATAATCATGGTTAAATGTAATATAAGCACTGATTTCATAATTTCAATCCTTCCCTGGTTGGAGAGAGTCAGCTCTCCCTCATGAAATGATCTCACATAGCCGCGTGCATACAACCATCGTCAAGGAAGTCCCACTCACTATCTTCTCGCGGCATTACTGTTGTTTACGAAACTGAGAGGACGAATAGTGAATGTCCGGCGGTTTAATCAGGTTGGTGGACACAGAGAGTCCATCTAGGGAAGTTGGAAAACCCTGATTCTAAACCACTGGTGCACATGGGCTTCAGTATCCTGAATGAACAAATGGCGTATGAACCAATTATTGGTCACCAGCTACCATGGGACTGTTTCCTAACGTTGTACCACTTCCTTGTGGATCAGACCTTTACGTCGAAGGCTTCAGGTATGGCCCTCTAAGTAAACCACCTGTTTCGATTTGTGCACTCGGTCAGTATCCCAGCCCTCACACAAATCTAATGATTCATGTTGCACATATCTACTTAATGCCTCCTTGTACCTATATTTATGTGTTTAAATAAATGAATAAATAAGTGGAAAATTAATCATTGACTCTTGGTAAATATAAAATTAGATTTCCAAGATTATATATCCAACCGCTAGAACCTTCATTAATCTCCATTCAAAGATTTAGCACTTCGTTTCAAAGTATGTTAATGAATTGGATAAATTAAACCTATTAATCTGCATGTCGTTCTTAAAAAACAACTTAGTTATTATCGATTCTATTTTGGGTCAGAAAAAATAGACAGTAAAGTATTCGACAAGTTTTTGAAAAGTTAAGATAGGATTTATGTTTTATAAATTCAAGGCCACTTCATAAAGTAAGTGTAGTGTATTTTTAAATGTCAATATTGTTATCAATTCTAGACCAAGATGTACATAAGATGGTTTATAGTCGAAATTGATTGGTCACTGTGTTGTGATCAACGTCATATGTGTCAGGTCCTTCTTAGTGCAGAATGCGTCAGGGAGCACCAGTTCACTCAAGATTACAGGTATACCTTGCTAACAAATGCCAAATAGCACGAAACCCGGGTTCA